AGCATGACATGACTTTGGACCTGACCCTCGTCTCTACCTGAATGTTTTGTTTAAAGCATGCGGAGATCAGATGTTTTTGGTCATTACATTGACTCTCATTAGGTCTCGGGTTTGGTCCAGATGAACCTAATGAGACAGTGTTTAATGTCCAGAGTCCTTTCTTGCCCCGGAAAAAAGCCGATGTGTGTGTTAGGATAGGCTGAGCCAAATTACACCAGTGCCTTGTGCAGTGTTGGCACCTGGGTCCTCTGAAGGTGGGGCGGCTGAGCCCAGCTGTAGGATGTTAAAGAGCTAAATGCTGATTGGGGCGGCTCAGACAGGACGATGGAACATCAGGGGAGTCAATGGGGGCTCATGGGGTTTCCTTTGTTTAAGGACATGTAGGAGAATCCATGGAGCGTCCTGTGGAAAATTCCAGAGAGGATCTGGACGTATGTATTTGGTGTTGAATTACAAAGGACTGACAGTTAAATCTACTCCATGAATATCACTTACTACGTCAAGACTTAATTACAGTAAGTTGATCATAACGACACAACTAGAGGCTGTAGACTAGAATTCCCAAAACTGTAAAAGTATGTAAATATTTCACACATTTATTCCTGAAGTTGTGTTTCCATATGAGACAGATAATAACCCAGCATATTGATTGGTCAACAGATAGCTTCTGTGCTATGTTATCAAGATAAACTTTAAAGTTTTCACAGTAGCACTCTCAACTACTCACTCACAGCAAATAAATGGACAAAAAAAGCAAAACAAATTACATAATCTCGGCATGAAGTCTATCGATACATAATAACTTACATAATCTCGGCATGAAGTCTATCGTTTCTTTTTCTGCAGAACTGCTTTGAAGCGTAAGACATCACTCCTAATATTTTCCAGCTAAATATTTTCTAAAATGGTTTGTCTATGTCAATCAGTATCAACTCCTTATAGCTGTCATTTCACACCTTTCCTGTAATGGTCCAATCATAACGCTGGGATGATGTGAGTGGCATGACACTGAAATTCACGGAATGAGAAAAGCCTTATCAAAAACAGACAGCTCATCTCCAAAAACTGTCTAAAACATTAGTCAAGCTTGCGTTGCTAACAACGGTGTTTATGTAGCACCACTGCACCAGCCGAGTGGGAGAACTTTCAAATGGAGTCACAAAAAAAAAAAACTTAACTTAAACTTTAACTTAATTTAAATACTCAGACGATGTGACCAAGAAAGGAAAACCATTAGTAAATGTGTCATTACAACATAAAAACAGTACTCTATCATTTCTCCAGCCAAGGACATATTAGGCAATACAAGCACTGCAGTACATTTCATGCAGATCAGATGGATTTGTGCAGAGACACACAAAATTGCAAAAAGGCCAACATTAGTCAAAATGTGAACATGAATAGAGGAGCTGTTTAGCAGTTGACACGACCACTACATTTTGCTGTGATAATGAACAAGATTATTGTGTGTGGGGACAGTCAGTGCGCATAAAAAATATTTTAATATTCATCACCACAGACTGCTGTGTCAAAAGATAACGCCATGCCAGTACCAGCTGAGGACATGAACTCCAGGTGCTGACTTGATACAAAGAACATTGGAAAAACATTAAATTTAGGTTGTCAGGCTGCAATTTAACTTCCTAATCATTGTGTCACTTCATAAACATAAAATAATGAGTTTGGAACCAGAAGTAGAACACTGCTCACATTTGCTCAAATGAAAACAACACTTGGGGGCATTCCTACCACTGTCATTAATACAAAGGCTCATAGGTAACAGATGTGACTCAGTCAAAGATGAGCTTGGCCACAAAGGTTAATCCATCACAGGAATGAAGGGTAAAATTATTGTTGTCGCCTTTGACAGAACAAAGGTTGATTTTCTGACCTTCTTTCTCACTCGGACTCCATCCTAACTTATAACCAAAGAAAAATCAGTCAGTGTCAATCAGTTCAGGTATCAGTGACAGAGCAACTCCATAAATAAATCAAAATAAAAAAACATAATCAAAAATCAATGAAATACAAAGCAGTTAAACAACTATTCAGATAGCAGAAACTGTCTCTGCAAAGTAATGTTTTTTGGCATGACTTAAAAAAAGAAATAATCCATGTCCCATCTGTTCACATGGAGGGGGTTGAGTTTATGACCAAATAAAACCAGAAAAGATAAGCAATAAAGGTTTGGCTTCACTTTTTTGGTTGTATAATATCAGTGAGCCTTTTATGCAATAAAAGAGTCACAAAAACAAAATCCAAAATGCACGAAACAATGGGGGACATTTAAATAAATAAAAAAAACCTTTATACTCACATGACACGAACACCCGTCCACATAATTATGTAGACTTTCAAAATGCACTTCATCCCTTTGATGCTGAGATTATGTTCAGGTTCTGTTTTTAAATTATAAAAGAAGCCACTTTCCTTCTTCAAATTTATGAGGCTTCAGCAAAGCAGGTGCCACTGAAAGGTGAAGTTGGTGTCTGCACATGTAAATATAAAATTCTGTCTCATTAACTCTTAAGTTATGTCTGCACATGTCCCCAGAATGCGACAGCCTTTAAATCGTACAGAGATTAACACAGATCCTCTCTATTTTGTACCAATCCGCTTTCTGGAATATTAAAACACAAATGAGCCAGTAGACCTGACCCCACGTCACCAAGACATGTCAGTGCAAAAATGATAACCAAGGTGTCATTAACGAACACTTCTCAGTCTTGATTATTGACACCTTCACTGACTTAACTAATGTGAACTTTGAGTATGAGAGAACTGAGTTTGTAATAACTTTAAGATAAAAATATATTTAGTTTGTTGTGCATTTATAAACAAACTGGTACACATCCTAAAATACAATTAAAATCTCATATGTTGTTAAAGTAGGGAAAATAACTAGAGTATTATGTAACTGTCTGCCTCTTAATGTCCATTGGCACAAACCATTTTTTTCAACCATATTTATTCAACAGACAGTTACACTATACACAGTTAGACATACACGTAAATACATAGAGCAAATTATAACTAAATTGAATTATGGATCTCAAAATAAAATAGATAAAAAACATTAACAGGTCATGTAGTAATAAGGATCAATGTGAACGAGAATGTTTATATATATATATGTATATATATTTATTTATTTATATATATATTTACATTCTCCATTCTCTTTCTCTCTATATATAGAGTATATGCAAGAACAACAGATGGCTCGCTGCAGTTTGCATGATGCTCCAGAAGAGGATGCTCTAAACCTCCTATTCTATTTCTGTATTCATTTATATTCACTTTTGTCTTTTTTAATCTTTTTTCAACTCCAGAGTAACAGAGCAACAGTCAGCAGCATCTCAAAGCATAGGTTTATGTGTTTTGTTGTTCACACCTGATGCTGCTTCTCATTTGTATAAGCTTCTGTCTCAATTAATCAGCCACAACTGATTTCATGAAAACCCAGTCCTTAATTTACTGCACAAATGAAGTACTTCTTTGTGTGTGTTGTTTTACTAAGGATCATAATCTGCTAGTAAAGCAAAATCAAACAGACCCCACAAAGTAGGTGCCCATGTTAGTGACCTGGATTACATCTGTGGCCCTTTCATGATATTTCTCATGTCAGAAATACAAACCCAATCACAATTGACAGCAGACATAACAACTAATTGACAGCCATAGCTGTGACATGTAAGACAATCTGACCAGTGTTTCCTGCCTTTGACCTTTTTAAGACAGCCAGTTTGTTGACCTTAGCCAAAAGGAGCTTTTATTGTTTCTTCGGCCAGGTCAGCACCCAGATGAACACGAATTCTAAAGACAGATGGCAATGCACAGAGTGAAATGGCTTGGAGTCCCTGAAGGACACCAATCAAACACTGTCATAGAAAAGATAAAGTAAACAATGGCACAATAGATTGGCTAGGTCCAATCAAAGCACCAATTACACCCAAAAAATCCAATAAAAAGTCTCTTTCAGAATATAGACACAACAGCTTCACGTGTAGTAATGAGAAAGAAGAGGTTTTAGACAGTTTATCGATGACGACTTTGGCTTTTGAAAGAAAAGACTCAAAGCATCAAATTTTATTTATTTTTTATAAAGGCATTGGAGGCAATTGAGCTGTAACTTGCTTCTCTTTTTTTCTTTTAATTCCTGCCTTAGTACACCCACAGAAACAGCATTCTTACTTCAGATAAAAAATACCTGATATTGTACTAGAGAACAAAGCATAAACTACTTTACCACAGTAGCCGTGTAAAATATTCAAATATGGCTAAATATTGTGTAATGACAAGCCGCCACCACAATATTATAGTGTTTGGGGCACAAGAACAGCACTGTCGTGAAAAAAAAATTCTACGGCCTTGGCTGTTTGTGGCTTTCATAGCGAATTATTTTGTGGTTTGTATATGTCTTTCCACTTATCCTTTATTAAACGGTAAGTTTAACTCCGCACACACCTTTTGTTTAGACAGTTCACTGGAAATCCACGCTGTGTTTACTCCACGCATTACAACGTAACGGTTCAAACGTCACATTCCGTCCCCTCCCCTTAGCAACAGAGGCAACATGGCGGCGTCCAGTACCGCTGATCCTTCTCTAGAGATATCGATGCCTTTAAAGATCCCAAAAACCGAGGTGCCATCCCCCGAGTCGGAAGAATACAGTGACAGTAATCAATATCACTCAAATCCACCGACACCGAACCGCTTCTCGCCCCTTAATGTAGGCTCAGGCAGCGCGGGCCGGACGGCGGCCTCATCCTCCAACAGCTTCACGGCTTGCCGCGGGATGTCGTGGACGCCGGCCGAGACAAACGCCCTTATCGCAGTGTGGGGCAACGAGAGGCTTGCGGAGGCGAGGATGCAGCAGCTGGAGGTGGCTGGCACCGTCTTCTCCGGTAAGGCCCCCGGTCCTGCCATGTACGAACGAGTGTCCAGAGCCCTGATGGAGCTGGGATACGACAGGACTCCCTCCCAGTGCAGGGAGAGGATGAAGGTAGATATTATGGCCATGTGTGAGAAGGTGTCTGCTGCATGTTTAGTAACCTCCGAGCTAAAGCTGCTGTCATTGATGACAGTGTCAGATAAGGTAATAAAAGTCACGTTTAACTTAGTCGTTGCAGGCAGAGCTAAACAGTCATGTATGGAAAAACAGACAACTGCCCTCGCATAAACCCCACAGCGGGCATTCCAGAGGGTAATAAACAACTAATTACGCATTTAGAAATGTTGTAGATCCTGGTGCATCCTTACACAAAGAAGATGAAAGATAAAAAATATGAGTGACCGGTTATAAATACTTTTTCCTGTTGTATTTTACATAATCATTAAGTTTTGGTGGAATAATTGAATTCCCGAACCCTAATTGTGACTCAGAATTCACTATTTAACTCTCTTTTAGCTAAATGTATTCAAATAAAGATCAAAAGTCAATGGTTTTTATTACAATAAAAGTGGTCCTACTTTGACAGCACTAGTGGATTAATCCACACATTTATTTACGCGCTTGACATTTGCATATAATAGATGAGGTAAAGCATATATTTTTAAACTCCTTTTCAGGTCGTTAACTGCGTAAGTGTCTCATATTCAAAGGACATTGCTGTTAATTTGTCACAGCTTCCATTACTCAGCACATTTTCCACATGTGCACAGCAAAAAAAAAAAGTTTTTGACATATTCGACGTGTATGCGTTTTTTAAAATGTATTTCAAAGTCATTTTATACATATCCTAAAGAAAGGAGACATACGACAGAACTTCTGAAACAGATGACAAATCAAAAAGAGATTTTTAAAAATTGCTTTAGACTTTACTAGTTAGAATGGACGATGTGGTTAATATAGTGAGAAAACACAGACACAGACTTGAAGAGTCTAAATTATCGGAATTGTTGTGTCATCACTCAATGGTGTTTCTCCATTTCAACTGTCAGAAATCAGCAAACCCAATCAAAAGCTTGTCAGTGATTACAATAATTATTATTTATATTTTTAGCCCAATAAACGTACTTTATTTTTACTTATATTTTTATAAAAAAAAACTTTTAAATAATTTCTTGGTTTGCGCTAGTCTGTTACAGAAACATTTCCAACATTTATTTAATTCAATAATTCCAAAATGTGAAAAAGAAAACAACTCTGTTATTTTGGTACATTGCCATAGTGTCCATAGCGTTTACAAACATCTTGAAGTCTAACATCTAAACCCATGAGTTGTCCCTTAATCACACACAGACACTGCGGCGGTGTTATAGCCGTGTAAAGGAGCACGGTATTGGGAAGAGGAAGAGCAGCTACACTATAGAACAGCTGGAGAAGGTGTTTGGTCAGGGAGGCTGGGACTCCCAGAGCTGTGCCCCAGTGTTGATCAACAGCAGTGGTCTGTACCAGGAGATGGAATCTGATGGCAGCACCCTGGAAGACTTCTCCCAGGAAGACTGGTGCAACCAGGTACTTGACTCAGCATTCCACGAGGGAGACATGGATACTGGTACGTTTGACACAGGGCAGTGGACAAATAGCTTAACAAGACCAAATAATATAGTGTCTGATGTCATAATGTGTCTCTTCTCTGCACCGTCAGAAGAAAACCAGGTGTTTAAAAACAGAGGTCTACAGTTTCAAGCGGAGCTGCCACGACAGATCCAGTAAGTGTCCATTTCCAATTGATGTACTGTATGAAGCCATACAGTGGGCTGTGGTTATTCAAATAAGGGTCTGAGGGCCCCAAGTAGTCCAGACACAACTTAAGTGTGGCCCAGTCTCTGGTCATTTAAGAAATGTGTCGCAAAACAGAGAACTACAATTTATAGTTAAAAAGAAAATTCTTCAGTAAAACAGACCATGAATGCAACACTCTACACAACCCACAATGCATCATTGATGGGACTGAAAGTGTTAGTAGTTATCTATCTGGTAATACAATACAAATTCCAGGCTCTAAATTGATCAGTGTTGCAGTGCTGAAAATGAAATGTTATTCAATGTAATCACTTGTTTTTAACCACATCTCATAGTTACTTCCTGTTTATGATCCACAGAAAATGTTGAGTTTAGCTGAATTTCTTAGGTTGAGAATTTGGCCATACAGAAAGTGGATGAAAGTTTCTATGAAAAATGAGAGACCATTATATTTTTTATTTTGTTTTACACCATAGAAAAGGGGGCCCAATGCAGACTGTGGTGCATATTCTCGAGTCGGTCGATTTGAAATGGGAGTATTTTCAAACTTGGACAGAGTTTTCACGGCTGCACCTCTCAAACAAACTAGCCATCTTTGGCGTGGGCTACAACACTCGTTGGCGGGAGGACATTCGCTACCACTATGCTGAAATCAGCTCGCAGGTTCCGCTGTGCAAGCGGCTGCGAGAGTACTTTAACCCTGAAAAGCCCGAGGGCCGTGTCATCATGACCAAAGTTCAAAAGATGAACTGGAAGAATGTTTACTACAAGTTCCTGGACATCACCATCAGTGAAGCACGCTGTCTGGAGCTGCATCTACAAGTGGACTGGATCCCTGTCTCTCAGTCCCGGGATACGGGGAACAGCAAAGACAAATGTCACTACCTCCTTCCTGCGGACATCCCCAAGTCCTATGGACTTTTTGCTGTTGGCTATGAAGCAGCACCATCGTCCAGCAGTTTAGCTCAGATCCTTGGCCAAGATGACAGTGAAGATCTTGGTTTACCTCAGAGTGATTCTGAAAATGGGCCCCAAAGTCAGGCTGATATGGAAGGACCAGGACAGAGCGAGGGAACGGAGGCTAAAATCACATACTGCTATTTAGGAGTAGCCGAGGAGAAAACTATACAGCAGTGTCTGTATCAGCACTTTCACGGCCCTGGCAAACATCCTGTTCACAGTGAGCCCCTAGCTTTGACGCGTTTCCTGCAGGAAAACTGCCACAGTGGTTTCACATGTCATCCTGGTGAGGGAGTAGAAAACTCAATCCAAGTTTTTAATATTTACATAAAATGTATTGAGGTGGAGCTGGACTTCCTCTCAGCAGGGTCCCTGGTGGAGTGCCTCGAAACTGCCGTGGGCTACCCTTTGAAATACAACAACAAAGACACATTTTGACTTCACACACATCACAATTGTGTTTGTGACATGTGATCACTAAAGACAAAAGTTACAGCCAGCACCTCAACGTTACATGGCCAAGTCCGTTACAAGACATGGACGTGTTCATGATCCTGACACGGTTGTGCCATCTCTTTAAAGGCAACTTTGTTACATTTTCATTCACTTAAAGATTGACAGTTGTACACAATATGTCACATGTACTGTGTGTCCACATGGAAACAGTCGGGTAACTTTTGATGTATGTACTCTTAATTTTTGGCTGACGTGCACTATACACAAAAGTTTCTGCTGCTTGTTTAGTGTAGATAACTGTTGCTTTATCAGGGAATGTGGGGTTGGCATGGTGACTACAGCAGTATGCATCAGTCTACCTCAGTAGGATGTAGCTAACAAGGTAGTGAGGGGATCATAGTGTGGAATTCATAGATTGCCTTTATTTTGACTGTTGGCGTCTGGACCTGAATTTGAAAACATTTAAGGCCTTTCCATCATTTTCACCTTCTGTGTCGTCCATTACACAGAAATAGACCTGTGTATAAAAGGAGTATTGGGGGTACACACAAAACTAGGCAGACAAATTATACTTGCAACAGTTTCTTATACACAATCAAAAATATTTGACAGTTCCTCACAAGTACTATTCTAATTTTTATACAAATTACTTTAGTGAAAAGTTTTAGTATTTAAAATCTCTTTGAAAAGCAAATTGTTTTATTTATTTGGTGCATCCCCATGAATACATAAAAATGTGAATTGGCTGTTATTGTTAAATATTTTGTAAAATATCCTAAAACATGTAGCTCCGAGTCACATTGGTTCGCTTCAATATATACACTTGGCCTTAGGAATATATACAATACATCACCTCACTGATTTCCCTGGTGAAAATGCAATTACGGAGAAGTATATTAATCTAAATTTCACATAAACATGAGTGTATATAATTGCATTAGTTTGAATCTGACATTAACATCAGACATGGTTAGTTTAGAACATTATGTTTTTAAAACATATTTTCAAACCATCTTTGCCTCCTGAGACAACAATATTTCACCAAACTCAGATACTCTGAATTCAACTGTACAGAAGGTTGTTTTTTGTTTTTGTTTTTTTTTTTTGTTTTTGTTTTTTTTTTTGGTGTCTAACCATTGGTGACATATCTTTGGTCATAGAGTTCTAGATTTGTTAAATGAGACCAAATGATATGCTTTGAGTATGTGTCATAATTCTGCAGGTTCTTGTTATCATTGTTTTTGTTAGTGTTTTTAACTTTCCTAATTATATTTCCGATAAAATTTCATAGCTGTTTTTTAAAACACACCTTAGTAGTGTGTTTCGCTAGACAAGTACTCACAAATATCCACACCATAGATTCTTAAAACTGACATTTTCTTAGAGTGACTTTCTGTCTGAAAAGCTTGACAATGAAAAATATGGAGAGGCCTTAAAGTGTTTTTCTGGATCTAGGAGATGCCTCTATGCAAATGAAGGTCAAGGGGAAATTAATCAGTTTTTGGCTTATGTGGATAAGCATTCGTCCAGCAGTCAAGATGCTCTGTCGCATCTGGTTGTTTCAGCTCAGCACCTGAAAGTAGCTGACCATTACTAGCAAAGCCACGCAGAAGTTCCCAAAGGAAATTACATTTTTTTACACTACATCATGCATCGCATCATTTCATTCCTTTTCTGCTTATTTTACATCAAGATTTGTAAAGAATGTGTGTAGAACAGAACTGCAGATGCTGTACTGCAGTGGCTCCCAAACCTTTATTTGCAACGCGCCCTGTTGAAAACAAAACTCACAATTTCAGACACTGTGAAACGACGTTACGTATTAGTGAATTTCCTCACTGCAGCAAAAATAAAGGATTTACTGAAACCTTCCCTTCAATTACATCGTGCCCCATGGGGATGATTGCCCCTCTCTTTGGGAACCACTGCTGTAAATGTGTGTTGTTGGTTTTTTTAAACACATGAAGTGTACATTTTAACTGCTTTTATGCATTACCCCTGATCTTTCACTAGTATAATGAAGGTTAAAATGGTTGTCCGTTGTATGATTGTAGAGTTCATCACACTGTTGACCACAGTGTTCTCACATTGGTTCCTGTTCAGAATATGTTTGTGCCACATATTTCAAAACTCTAATACTGAAAGTTGTTGATCATCTCTAGCTGCACTTGTGGAATGTATCGGTGTATGTCCAGTGATGATGATGATGATGATGTAGTTCCCAGATACTCTCTTTTTTCTCTGTCATTTTTACCTGCATCTGTGTTACAGGTAACAAACAAGGTGCTGCTGATTTGTTATAAGGCGCATGTGTGCAGATGTGAATCAGGCTGACTGTAAGTTCACTTTATTCTACGGCCTTTACAGACTAAAAGCTGCAGAGGTTCACTCACATTTAACGTTCATCAAAGTTCCTATGGTCGTCTGCAATGTGCCATAAATGACTGTGTAGTGAAAATCTACCCACACACGTGGAAGTCAATTTTGAATTTATGTATATAAATTCTACCATATATATATATAAATATATATATATATATATATAGTATCTACGGTATATATTTAAGGATATTGATGTTCTTGAGCATTCCGGCTTTTGCAATCTCGCAGTGTTTATTTGTTTGGGTATACTGCATATGAAGAAAAATATGATATTTTCTATTTTATTGGTTGACAAAATGTCTTGTATGTAATTGTTTCCAGGTCTCTGTCTTTGTATGTTTACATGTTTGAGGAACAATAAAGAAGGCACTCACTGTTATTTGCGACACAGTGAAGGGGAGTTGTTCGACATTGTTTTTCTTCTAAACTTTGTTGACAATTTTTCTGACCCTACTATTATCAATCAGAGTCTCAGTTCAGTCATAGTTTCATCTCACACTGACTACATAAAAACAAACGTCAACATTCAACACATTCAACATAGCTCCAGTGGCACAGCGCCACGCAGTGGTTACGTAGAATTGCTGCTTCTTTAAGGAAATTTAACGCATGCCTTGGACTTAGGAATTTATTTTCAAAATGGCATCAATACAATTTGTTTACTTTTAAGAAATACTTTAATGAAATGGAAGTAAAGGTCAATAGACTTAATTTAATAGATCGACTCATGCTGTTTACAGTAAAGGATACTTGGTTGAAAAAGGTTAAGGCCACTGACCTTGATCTTTAGAATTATCTGTTATGGCAGATGGATCTGTGGCGCGGTGTAGTGACGTAACACAAGGCTCCGTAAACACTACAGGTGCAATGGATGTGGATTTAGACTAGTTGCCTGTCATTCACTAGTATGGCCAGACGGTGGCGTTATGCAGCCACTGTATAAATTTCTCACAGGGAAAAATTGAAGTACACTCGCTAAGAAATATTACTTGTCAAAAACAAAGAAGTTATTACATTCGCACGACCGTGTCCGCTGTGAGGAACAGTAAATATAAAAGCTGTAACGTTTGGACAAAAGGTGACAGCGTTTCCGACCTTTTTAAAATGGATTTGGATCAAAAACGTTGGCAATTCTTTACAGTTCCATGTTTCAAATAAACTATCCAAACATAAAAATGAAAGTAAATAAAACAAGTATTTCTTCACCTGAGAGGTTATACAGTGAGGCAGTAAAACAAACACAGAAACATGAAGTCTGCCCTGCCCCTTGTTAGTTAATAATTTATGTTACATTCACCCATTCACTCTTTTTTTTACTTTGTAAGAAGTACAAAATGATTCTGACTCAGTGGAGGAAAATAAACATACATGATGTTGATAAATATTTCATGTTGCCCTGCTCATGGGCCCCACTTTTGTTCAGAACAACTGTGCTGTCGCTGTCTTATATATTCTGTTCAAGCATTTGTTTGTATTTATAGTCACTTTGAATAACTGTATGACTTTGAAAATTAATTGTTTTCTGCAGATTAACTTAAGTGAGAGAGGGAGGTGAGAGAATAATTTTAATCAGAAAAGTGAGTTTAACAGAAATAAACAGGAAATGCATTTTGAAGTATGTGTACATTTTATTGCCTTTTATGGCCTTTATTTTGTTTTATCACTAAAATCTTGTTGTGTGTGTGTGCTGCCTGATTTTTTCACAGCTGGTTGGTGTTGTAAAAAAAAAACCAAAACAAACAAACTATTACCTTAACTGTCAAGCAAAGCCTCTATTTACTAAGGTAAATAGAGGATGCATAGTATATCTTACTCAACTACTATGCAACAAAGGTCACTGATTCCCCTGATATAGTAAACTGCATGATATGATAAGATAAATAATTTTAATTTTATAACAAGCCCTACTGCATCAGGAGCCTAATACTATTTTATTATTTTATTTATTTATTCATGTCTTTATACATATTAAGGTGATTGGTCTTTACCAAGTCCTAAACATTTTTTTCTTTTTTGGGAGGTGGGGGGTGAGGGTGGAACTAAAACTAGCGATAGAAACTTAAATTGAGTTACCCTTTGTCATCATCGTGTCTGGTCTGTTTGCTATGGTCCCATATGTCATTTTTGTGTTTTGAATTAGAATGTGGTTTAGGTATTAGTTTGTCCGACCTTCCCAAATGATTTTAACATCAATAACAAACACAGGCTTGTTTTGACAGCTCTTTTCCTACTGAATGCTGTCGCCAGAGGCCCAAACGTAATTTGCAGCAACACAACAAATTCTCATCCGCACAAGGATCATTGGACCTTGCTTCTTTGGATTTAATCAAAGGAATAACCCCTGCTCACCTCTCATAATTGAGCAGTCCTCCTGCATTAGCCTCACGCTTGTTGCTGAGGCAACAGGGCAACCTTAGAAAATGAAATAAAGGGGTCTGGCCACCTCAGAGAGCACAGGTCACTACATATTTCTAAATCAGATGGCAAGCTCACCTTGGGAATTCCTGTCAAGCCAGAACAGTCCAGAGTGTTCCTCTACTTTTAGTTCCAGACCTTTTCACACAGACAGAAGCTGAAGGTTTTCAGGACAAAGTGCTTTACACTTAAAAAATAATGAAATGGTTGCAAACCTGTGACCTTCTCCTCACACATTTGTAAGGTATAATACAAATCAATCACAAGCAGAGACCGATTGTTGGAAATTTAAACTTGGCTCTTAGCAAGAGCAATAATTCAGGTTAGTTGTAGAAGGTGATTTGAAAAAAAGTAGTTACTGAAAGAAAATTGTATTTAATGATGGACTTCTACCGTTTTAATCTCAGGAGTGTAGGAATGCAAACAAAAGCCAAAAAATAAGTCCCTTTGTGACATATTTATTATAAAGGTAAATATATTTCACCTACAAACAAAACATAAATGCCAGAAAAATAGATAGAGATAGGTTCAACTCTTGTAATTGGTGAACAGGTGCACAAGCACTCTCTTCAAAATAAAATAGCACCGTCTCTTTGTGCGTTCAACAGACCAGTGTTCAGTGTAACGCGTGCTATTATTTTGTAAACAAGAAAAGGGAACTCGCTAATAGTGTTTGCGCTAACTTCACGACAGACCGTTCGCTGGGTCTCTCTCTCTCTCTCTCTCTCTCTCTCTCTCTCTTGCAGCAATGACAACTTGCAGAGTTATAGTCGTCTGGATGAACAGGGAGACGCACTTGCACCAGACTGTTGCTGAGAATAGGAGGTGGAGGAGGAGAAAAGGAGTTGCGGAGTAACCTCGGCGCTGGAGGTGGTGATAGTCTTTTTTTTATGAACTATCTGAATTAGAGAGGTGAAAAAGAAGAGAAGACAGAAAAGAATTTTCGCTGCCTTTTCTCACCTGAAGTGTCCCTTACTGAACCACATCACTCCTCACTGTAGGAGGAGAACATCAGGTTGGACGGACTTACCCTACAGAACACTGAGGACACCCACACAACTCACAATATTTAGAAACATTTGAACAAAACAGTGTGAAGTGAAGACAGCCAGCATGGAGGTTAAATCGACTTCGAGGAAACTTCATTTGCTCTGCGTTACGTTCGCGTGGGGTCTCTCAGGTGAGTCCACAGCTTGTTTTCACTCTTTAAAAATATTAAGTCAAAACAAAGTTTTCTTACCCCCCAACAAACACAAACTATTGTAAATACTCTCTCTTTTACTTCACATTTTAACCACCCTGCAAAATTGTAGAGAAAACAGCAGGAGATTCAAGGTGACATTCAATAAACAGTTGTGACCCAAGCAGCTCAATCCCTATCCCATATAAAATGTTTATGAATAGCTCTAGTTATTACAAAATCATTGTGTAGGAAAACAAACAAATGTTTTTTATAGAAATATTCCCATTCTTAGTTGTAGGTGAGACCATGTCCTCTTTTTTTATTTTCTTCCTCCCTGTCTACCAGAGGATGAAGAGATGGACTTAAGACTTTAACACCTGTTTGTTTTTGACAGGATTTGTAACAAGTGTGTTTCACATGATTATGTCTTCTAGGGAAAAAATAATCCCTTTAAATCTGCTGCAACATTGGCTCAGCAGTCACTCTCTCTGGCCATGTTTTAAACTCCTTACTTCGTCTGATTACTGTAGAGTACATATACTGTAGCCCACTTTATCCACCTGTCATTTACTCTGGGCTGCAGCCCATAAATCTTTGACAAAGTGACAGGTTGTAACTGATTCTTGTTTCCAAAGGATGGTTCGACATTTTTTAAGTGAATAGTGTTGAAATTAGATACGTTTTGTTCAATGAATTGCAGGTGCATGAAGGAGATTTACTGCTTTCTTTCTTTCTTTCTTTCTTTCTTTCGGTCCTGATTTTCTAAATCTCTGTTATGAATTAATGTAGTTCTGTAAGCTTCTGGTTGTTGGTTCTGATTTCTCAAGTTCTGAGCTCAGCTCATTCAACATTGACATTTGACCTCATTATTGACTTCCATTCAAGACAAAAGCAGTACAGAGTCTTGTGATATTCTTACATGTGGGTGTAGTAAGTCGGTCCTTAGTTTCTTCTTTTCACACCGGGACAATGTCATTCCAGGTATTTCCCCCTCACACAACACCCTGCTGCCATTAAAAAGCAGACGATATCATAGTTTGTTACTCCACCTGTGTCTCAGCTCCAATAAATAGGCTGGTGACTTTCATAGTGAGACATAATGACAAGCAGCAGCTTTATGTTTAGTGTCGTCGCCCAAGGCCCTCTTGTTCTTTCTAGCACTGTTTCCAAAACAATCATTTGTGCTGACAAAGGCAATCTCAGCCTGGCTTCATACACCAGCAGGTACTGTAGAGCATTATCTGAAAAAATGCTACCATTTTACCCAGACTCCTACTGGGGATATTTCATGGACAGTGATGTCCTGAAGTGATCCATCAGGAGTCTTCACAGAAGGCTGTGATTCCGTGTCACAACAGAACAGGACAATAGTAGCACAGTAGCTGACCTTGACCTTAGCGTTTGGCTCTTAATCAGTGGGCCCGCAGGTGTGTCCTGAAAACATGCGTGGTCAAGATGCAGGCAGGAAGTGCTCATGAATAGCAACTTGTGGAAACAGGAAAGCCGTTGCGCTCCTCAGCTCCCAGATGTGAATGAGTTTATCAGGATCAGGAAGTGTACAAATGCCGTCCCATGAATGAGATTAGACCTTGTTTTGTGTGTCAAAATTATAAATAAATGAATAAATAAATAAATATAACAGCCAGACAATTATGGTAACAATGTTTTTGAGTTGGTGTGTTATTTTATCATTATTTTATTAAGAAGGACTTGTTGTGTTATTCTTCTATTCTATCTATTGTATTTTACAATAGACCATCGACCAAAATAATAACAGGACAAACAGTGTCCTAACATTTTGACATTACTCAATTTTTTACCACTTTGAGAGTCATGGAATTAACAAACAACTTTAACAAATCTGTTTTGCAGTTTTTTGGTTCAAATCTTATAATCTGTAATGTAAGAAAGTTTTTATTAAGCATTTTACTTCTGTTTATTAAGCATTCATTAATTAATTGGGTTTTTTTCACTCATTTTGTATCATTTGAAAACTGAGTATTTAATTGCTGCATGGTTATAGGCGTAAATTCTGGAAGATGAAAAAAAAAATAAAGACCAGGGCTGGGGCCTCGGTAACACTGCACTGCTTCAAAATTAAAGTCTAATCTTCTTAACATTCTGGAGTCAGAAAGGCAATCAGGGAGGCAGGGGAGAGGATTTGGATTTGATGTAGAGTTTATTCTTCAAAGTGAAAACATAAAGCTGAACTAAACTGTAGACTGGCAGACATCTCCGTACATACATCAACATCTGCTTACGTACTTTTATAAAAAGAAAAACCTGTGTTTGAGAGTTATGGATGAATGCCTGACTAAGATCATAGCTACAAGCATCTATTGTTTTGATCACTGACCTTATGACCCAATGACTAATTTAACAACAGATAGTTCTGTGCACCTGTTTGCTAGAAATGACAAACTGAATGTTAAAAATACAAAAACAATTGCACATAATACTCCTCTAATATTCTTTGAGGAATATTAAAGGAATATTATGTGTATTTGTATTTTTTAAGTGGATGTAAAATTACAATCTAAACACTGAAGATTTCACCTGAAGATTTAGTTAAATCTTGAAAAAATGTTAAAGCTAAGTCATATAAATTTATAAGTGACATGGTATCTGGATACTAATGTAAAACCACAAATTCAAATGTAGTTAGCTACAGTAAAAATATGAGTTTAGGAAAGAGAAAATAAAATAAATGATTTACATACATTTAGCCCACATGGTAACCTATACTTGCTGTGTCTTATTAAAGACTAGTGTCTCTGTTTACTCCTTGACATAGCATGTGGCTACGAATGTTGATTTGCAGAGGGATTCTACAGTGGACTTTACTTATTTAACAAGGTCAGTCTGCACGAGCTTCAGAAGCTTCACTGGGATGGACAGGTGGGGGTGGTAATCTGCTGCTGCTGCTCCCATCACTGATTTTCTGTGTTGACTCTGTATTTTAAGTAGTAGTTGGATGTAATATTAGCCATGCCTGTTTTAAACACAGCAATGCTTATAGCCTGAACCCTCCACCTACTCTTACCAGACAAATCTTAAAGCCTGGCACATGTGTTTACTCTGTAAATGACAATGAAAACATGAGATAACACGGTCTGTTTCCCAGTCCACTCACTGTGTTTCCCTTGACAACTCTTCATCCCAGATTATATTTTATGTCCCCTGCGACCACTTAAAGCAGTGCCTTGGAATGCAGTTCATCTAACATACAGTACAACCACGGTCTTATCTCTAATTGCCAATTTCTTAGAATAATACGCATTGGGTGTGCAGCAAAGCCTCGTTTCACAAAGAGTTGGGAATTACATCAGTTTAAATCCAACAGTCTTGACCCGTGTGTTCCAGGGAACTGGTGAATTTTTGATGTAGGAGGAGTGACACGGTGACAGTCCCCTGCACTTCATCTGGGACACAGCACGGCTGTTTGCCGTCCACTCTGAGCAAGTGTATCACAGCCTCTAGCCAGTGTTTCTACACACACAGTACACAGTATACAGTATGAGCTCAGGAGAACAGGAACCCAGAGTAAGATAAGAAGGGGCTGTGCAAGGGCTGGCTCTGTTCGTTCAGTGTCTGCCTTAAAAATGTTCAGATTGAGGATAAAAAAAAAAGGAAAAATTGAATGCAACAGCCAGGAGATGTGTGTGTGTGTGTAAGGGGTGTAGGGTTAATCTGAATGTTTTGGATTTATCATCCACTGAGATTACCTTATTTTAGCTGTGTTTGCCTCAGAGGAGATTCAGTATTATAACTAATAAATATATATATATTCCACAGAACATTATTTTAAATTAAGACTTAAATGGGATGCTTTTAAATGCATGGTTTTTGCATCAAATTGTCTGCTTTTTTTGGAAGTTTTGACACAACTGTTTGAGATCAACAGCTTCTTTTACCTCCATCCTTAGGTACATTTCTTGTATTCAGTGGGCAATCAAAGCTAAATATATATAAATAGTTTCATTAGAGAAAAAAAATACCATTTAATTTAATGTAAATAAAAGAAATAAAGTGTTTAATCAGGATTAGCCAACAATCAAATTTTATTTTTTTCACTTAAATGTTAGTTTAGTCATTGATTAGTCGGTTTAATGTTGCCACCTTCATACAACGAAGGATTTGCTGCTATGTAAAAATTAGAAAAACATTCACATTTGCAGTGTCAGTCTGGTGACGACTGTGGGAAACACATTACTGTAGCTATGTATAAAATGTGGCCTGTTTTTCTAGAGATGTGGGCGAGTTGTTGTCATTCTTAAATGGACAAAAATAGGAACTTGTGAATTATTCTTGCCACCACTGTAAAATCAGTATCTTGGCCGCAGACCAGACGGGACATGTGACATGTTACTGTACGTGTTGTATGTCTACTTCCTGTCTTCTGTGTGACACCCAATAACCATCCATGGATCCAGTAGGAAGAAGACCTCCTCTGTGGGGTCATGAGAAAGGCACTGGGTGACTTTCTCAACATTCTGCCTTGGCCTAGTGACTCTTAAAGGGACAGGCACACACATACTGTCGTCTCATCATTCTGTCCTTCTCTCACTGACTTTTTCTTATGTAGTGCCATTGAAAAACAGGAAAACAAATCAGTATGTATTCTAAGGCGGTGAGTGATTGATACAGTATGTGGGTAAATGCTAGAGCGTCTGGGTGTTTCCCATGTAATTGACTGGGCTCAGAAGGATGCCTGCATGTCCTGATAGAAATCTGTTGAGGAAAGTAAAACACGGTTTTGTGTATTGTTTTGTGCAAAGGCTACATAAACAGAGTTATTCCTGGGATATGTTTTGTGTATGAACAGAACTCACAGAAAGCATTTTATATTCATATACACTGAATGTTATGGTTTCTAGAAGAGGGTTTCCCCAAGTCATAATTCTTGCCTCTGTCCTTGGATTGCTCTTCATAATGTATAACTGCCTCAGAGTCAACTCCTGTAATTGAGGGTTGACTGTGAAGCCACTGCAGCTAAG